GGCTGGGGAATTCTGGGAGTTGAAGTCCACCCATCTTCAAGTGGCCAAGTTTGAAAAACACGGCTTTAACAACTCCCTTGCCAAGTAACGCCTCTGCCTTCTCTCAACAGATTGAATATTTCAACAATCAAATCATTGTCGATCTGGTGGAAGAGCCCCATAAGGGCATCATTGCCATCCTGGACGAAGCGTGCTTGACCGTGGGGAAAATCACCGATGCCCTCTTCCTGGAGAGCATGGATGCCAGGCTTGGCAAACACCCCCATTACACCAGCAGGAAGGTAAGAGGGCTGTAGGAGTCTTGTTCCAAGAAGAAATCTGAGCTTCCAGATTTCCTTTTGGAATAATTGCATACAGAGAGTCCCCAGTTTAAGAACGAGTTCTGTTCCCAAGATCTGTCCTTAAGTCGAATTTGTACGGAAGTTGGAACAGTATGTTTGTGTAATACTGTATAAGTTGTATTGTGTAATGAACTTGAACCACTGGGTATTTTTAACTCATATTTTTAACTCAAATTTTGCTACAATAGGCTCCGTTCTAAACTATGGGTCATCCTTAAAATGGGGGGGAGGGGCTTAACCTGGGGGTTACATAGTCCCCAGTTTAAGAACGAGTTCTGTCCCCAAGATCTGTCCTTAAGTCAAATTTGTACGTAAGCCAGAACAGTATAATTGTATAATACTGTATTGGGTATAATACTGTATTGGGTAATGAACTCGAACCCTTGTGGATTTAACTCTAATCATTGGGTACTTAACTCAAATTTTGCTACAATAGGCTCTGTTCTTAACTATGGATTGTCGTAAACCTGGCATTCTTAATCTGGGGACTCCCTGTACTTGAAGATTTTTTGTTTTTTCTAAGCGATCTGGGCAACAGTGGAGCGGCATTGGAAATTCTGAAATTTAAAGAAGGCATCAATGCAGTTAGGACCAAGGGCATCGATAGGGAGGGAAGACGGTGGGGGGCAATTGACACCATGCGTGTTATGACTACAGTGATCATATGTCCTTTATTATAAAAGACAGTTCTTTATTTCATAAAGCTGTCCATTAGATG